TTTTTTTTTTAAAGGAATGCACCTTTTTAGGACAAATCTATAAAACATCTTTATTTATTTGTTACATATGATGTTTAAATATAACTTTACTTTCAAGCTTCAAACTTTTTTAAGCCCCTGGTAAAATAAGACTTTTGGTTCACCTTAACAAAAACTGACCTAGGAAGAAACATTTTTAGCAAAATGTTTTTATAAAATTCACTAGAAAATACTGTCCTCTTTTTGCGAAAATGTTACATAAAATCCTTATTAAAAATACACACGTTACAAAAGAAAAATTATGAATATGCTGTACATAGTGCTTTGATATGGACCAAAGGGACCTGCATTCCAGGAAAATACAGTTAAGCACACTAGATATTATGATGTCAACTTATAATAGTGCAAACCTGAATAAATTACATCCTGATATGGAAGGCATGCAAGTCATTTGCTGAGAATAGAACATAACGAGGCCAGAACAGGAAGCAATCACAACCACTATTTAAAAATGTTTTCATTTTTATTACATTAATTTTTTTCAAAAATACTTTTCTTTACAATAGAACTCCTAGAAAATATTTACAACCTTCCTCTAATAAAATATAACAGCAGTTAAATATATTTGAAAATAAGATGGGTTTTTCCATAAAATATATCTGTTAACTTTTTATATACAAGCTTTCTTAAAGAAGTCTAAATTCACTAATGAAAAACCATCTGATAGTAAACAGTAACCGAGTTGAAGACATTAATCACTGGGAAAAGTTCTTCGGGGTGGGGTTGGCTTGGGGGAAGCTAAAACACAACACAGACATGCAGGCAGAATCATTTCAGAAAAATAATAAGTGCAATATTTTACTAGGAAGTCAATTCTTTAAGTTGATAGTCAAGAAATACTAATTCAGAAATTTGAACTGTCTCGTTAAGGAGGAGTTCTTTGGTTATTTCAAGTCAAAAGTTCTTAAGCTATACTGCATGGAAAATTAAAAGTAAATTGTGCATTATATTTTTGCCATGGCAACTCAGTTTGTTTCTAATGTTTAAAACCGGAACAGCTGGGCGAATCTTCCAACAGAAGGATTACATTTGCTTTATAAACATTTTCTGGATGTTTGCTCTTGTGATAGATAAGCTTCCATAGACCCAACAGCAGAACCGTTCCAGTCTCCCCCTGACACTGGTTAAGTGGAGAGAAGCAGTGACTGGGACAGGCACTCAGCCAGTGACACGACAGTGGCAATGGTCCTGTAATGGTTCTGCCCCAAAGTGGATGTACAATGCCCAGGCAGTTCTTAACTGAAAACTGCTTAGTAAAACGTAGGATGGAATACCCTTTCTGAAACCGCAGGAAGTACAACTTTTTTTTTCTCTGAACAAAAGATTGAAGGAAACCTCTAAGACCTCTACTCTGAAAACAGAATGATGGGAATGAAAATAATCTTTGTATTTTTTTTCTGTCCATGGCTTTCCTGAGATTCAGAGCCCACCACCTGTGTAGGACTGCTGTGGGTACAGCTGGCCCCCGTGAGTGTGTGCTACATGCTTCTGCAGACTCAAACTTAAAAGATGCTCGGGTCCAACCCTCACGCTTCCACTGATATTCTAAAGTCATGCTATTAATGTGCCCGGAAAGTGGCCCAGGGTGACAGCCACACTTACATGAAGCTGAGACCCAGCATACCTGGGGCGGGCTGAGGCCTGATGACAGCTGCACTCAAAGTCATATGGCATTAACACTGAAGGGGACGCCATGAGCAAGGTCCTCACTGTGCCGGAGGTGTGTCCCAGTCTGACTTTCGCCCAAACAGTGGGATGGGTCAGTCTGACTCAGCTCAGAAGTCTGGGCTAAATGACATTTTTGAAGGATTACAGGTTTATTACCTTTAAGTACAAACAGCAATCCTGCTGACAGGGACGGGGGAGGCAGAGCTAAGTCATGTAGTATGCAGAAGTCTAGAAGTGCTTTGGTAAGTGACTTGTAATGATGCGTTCCTTCTCTGAACGCAAACATTGTAGTTGAAATGTACCCGACCCTTTTTTTTATTGGTCTTCGATGCTATTTCTCTCGTGTGTGCTATTGTATGTGTTAGAAAACTGTTTCTCATAGCTCATGTCCAGCAGATGTGAATTACAGCAAAATCTAAGTGAAAGAGGTTTCACAGTACTTTCAAGTGGCACATACTAATTTAGAACTCTGCTAACCGTTAATGGTGTTGCAAAAAAGAACAGGCTCTTCTCATCTATTTTGGGGGCAAAAGAGCATTTCCTGGCATTCCACGTACGTCAGTGTGAACCCTTCAACTACGCTAACCCGAAAGCAGTCCTCCCGGCAACTTAATAATTGGGGTATTTGCCTCCAGATAGGTCTCTAGTCAGTTCATGCTGAAACACAGCTCTGCTACCCACAACTTGGAGTTGACCAGTCCCCAGGGGACATGCAAGAGGACCAGCCTACTCTATTAACCAGGTCCTTAGTAAATCACTGCCAGGAGTGAAAGGTTAAAATTATACAGTACTCCATGCCTGCAGACCGACCAAGGAGTGACAGGGAATGCAGGGGAAACCTATCTTCATGCTTGGTCAGCCCCTCACAATGACGTATGTGCTGGAGGACAGCCGTGACACACCAGGCTTGCTCTGCTCCCTGGAAAGCTACCCTTTAGCAGAGAGCTTCCTGGCAAAGATGCCAAGCTCACTGCAAAGTACAGAATGAGGTCAGAACAGAATAAAAATAACTCTTGGTGGGAAAAGAGGGCCCAAGGCCCCAGCACGAAGAGGGCAGCCTGCTTCACACACACTCACAGCAAGCTCTGGGATAAAAGTCAACTGGGTCGGTTGACTTCTAAAAGCAATGGAACGTGAACGTCAAGTTGGTCCCTGCCAGGGAAGATTTTTGTGAAGATGTAGCCCAGACGAAACACCTCTTAAAGATCATTGTGCCAATTATTTATTCCCCCCCAACCCCCACAAAAACAATTTTTCTTTAAATAAAAGGAACAGAAGAGGGATTTTTTTTTTTTTCTAAACCTGAATAAAATGACCACTTTTTAAACAGGTAGTTTAAAAGGGTTACAAAACAAGCAGGCAGTCCAGGTTTCCTGATTGATGAAGACAGAGGCCAGGGGTTTTCATTGTCTCTGAGTGACAAAGCAGGGCTTTATAGTTCCGCGTCACCCTGAAGCAAAACTGAATCTTGATCGTCCAAGAGAAGATCAGTGTCCACGACCTCGGCCTCTTCCATGACGCCTCCTAACTGCTGGACAACGTCATCATCAAGGATGTCCACGTCCTTGATGGGTTTGATCAGACTCAGCTGGTCCAGGGGCAGCAGCCCTGGCGCGCCCACCGGCCCCGTAGTCCTCTCGATCGTAGCTGCCATTTCAGCTGCAAAAGCCGCCTTCTGAGCCTTTTGCCTCTGCTGTTCCTCCTGCTGCCTGTGAGTTTTCATGTGCGCGTTTCGGCTTTTGATCTTGAAGAAGACCCTAAAATCAAGAATAAGGAACTCGTGAAATTCAGAAGAAATCTGAATTCTTATAAATCTGGGTGTCCTTCAGAGAATAGGGGTGTGTGGTTTGACAGCCCCTGGCCCCTAGGACCTCCTTTCCCTATAACCTGTCACCTCTCCACTCCCTCATCTCCAAACATTACAAGAAAAGGGCACGGGGACAGGAACACACTGATGCGGTGGCAGGCTGCCTTCCTGTGATGACAGAGGAAAAATTCTCAGAGGTCCTCCTGTCCCACTGGGGTCCGGAGCACATGCCCTTTCTCCCCATCACTATCCATGCCCTCTGCTGGAGAATCCCCACATTACACTAATGAGCTCTGACAGGCCACATCACGAAACCATTATCCCCCTCTGGCCTCTGGCCCTGTTCTTCCATAGCTAAATTCTTACTTATTTGCCCTTCTCCAAATGTTCTAACACAGCCAAAATTCTTCAAGTATCTTCAAGACACTTGGTGGTTCTCCTCTATACCCTCCACTTCATCCCACTGTCCTCCTCAAGGTCACCAGTAACTGTGTGGCCAGCGGCCCCTCTTCTGCCTTTGTTGTGCTTGCCTTTTGAGCTGCATCTACCACTTCTTTTCATGAAAGACCCCTTCTTATTGGCCATCACATTATCATCATTTCCTACTGTTGGCTTTAGAATAAAATAAGAGTTCTCAGCTGGGGGTAATTTGTCCTCTCAGGAAACATTTGGCAATTGTCTGGAGACATTTTTGGTTGTCGCAACAGTGGTGGGGCAGGGACACTTCTGGTATCTAGTGGATAGAGACCAGGGATGCTGCTAAACGGTGCATAGGAATGGTGCCTTCTTCCCCAAAATGTCAGTACTGCTGACACTGAGAAATGCTGGGACAAAAGGTCCACAAACTATGGTCAGTGGGCCAAAGGCAGCTTATTTTTCTAAATAAAATTCACTGGCACACAGCCATGTCTACGAATCGTCTGTGGCTGCTTTTCTACTACAGTGGTGAAGCTGAGCATTTGTGACAGAGGGAAGGGCACATAAATTAGCTTAAAATATTTAATATCCGGACCTTTTTCAGAAAAAGTTTCCCCAGGTGTGAGCTGTCTATTTATAAAGAGGGTCTGGCATAAATAACTCTATTTTCATTCTTGAGCTGATAAAGGAAAAACAAACAAACCAACCCTGATTTCTAGGGCCTGAGTCCAACAGGTTGATAAATCCTAATTCCTTTTGGACATACTGAAAACTTAAATGCAATGAACATAATTCAGCAGCTAAAACTGGCGTTGTGTGAACATCTGCCTACTATTGCTCCCAGGCTGAAAAACCACAGAAAACATTTCTATTTTCCATGAAATCTTAACTGGACGCCTGGTAGGAAATGTTCCCAAGCAACATTAAAACAAGGCAAATGACAACATTTAATAGATGTTGCTGAAAGACAGCCAGAAAGCATGATGTATTAATTTTTGTTTTGTTAAACCATCCTTTGTCTCCACCTGGTGGAATATGGAATTGTAGCCTATTTGTGCCTTATTGGCTCCTTTCAGGGGAAACTGGCAAGAACCTGATGACCCCACATTTCCACTGTGGGGCAGATAGGTGGGAGATAATTAAGAGTTAGCTCAGGGTGGGTCCGTCATTACTTTAAGAAAGTAACCCTCATGTTCAATTTATGGGCCCATATCTTCTGTGGTTCACTCAATGTGTGGTAGGTGGTGATGTGAAGAAGACATCACGTCTGGGCTCTGAGGGACAGCAGAGCATGGAGGAGTCCGGCACCTAGATCCATTTCTCCCATCCCTGCAATTCACAGATGGGAAAAGATCGCTAGTTCCAATTCACTTTGGTGGGTGCCACGGACCTGAGTTAGGGTGATTCAGAGGCAGCACAGCAGGAAGCTGGTCCAGCCTGCCTAAACTGAATCCCCAATTGGCCACCTGCTGTGTACTACAACAAACAGCTTACTCCTTTTGTGCCTTAGTTTATCCCTGTAAAGAAGAAGCTACTGTAAGTGCCTTCCTCACAGAGCTATTTAAAATATTAAAAGAATCAAAATATGTGCAATGGGTTAAATGTGTCCCCGCCAAATCATATGTCAGAAACTTAATACCCAGTGCAACAGTGTTGGGAGGTGGGGCCTAATGGGAGGTGTTTAGTTCATGAGGGCTCTACCTCATGAATGGGTTAATACTGATTATAAAAGGGCTAGAGCAGTGGTTCTCAACCTTCCTAATGCTGTGACCCTTTAATACAGTTCCTCATGTTGTGGCAACCCCCAACCATAAAATTATTTTCATTGCAATGCTGGGGGTCACAACATTTCGTTGTTGTGGGGGTCACCACAACATGAGGAACTATGTTAAAGGGTCGTGGCATTAGGAAGGTTGAGAACCAGTGGGCTAGAGGCTATGAGTTCAATCTCTTGCCCTCTCTGGCCCTATCCCTGCCTTTTAGGCATAGGATGACGCAGCAAGGCCCTTGTTTCAGATGCAGGTCCTTTGACCCTGAACTTCCCAGCCTCCAGAGCTTATGAAGTGAACTTCCTTTTAAATTACTCAATCTGTTGTTTTGTTATAGCAACACAAAATTGACTAAGACAACATGTAAGAAATTCTTTCAAACAGTGCCAGGCAAATAGTGATTCCCTGATAAATGACAGTGACTACTAAGGTACCTGCCCTATTCTATCAGGCTGGAATAACAGGGGTCCTACTTGGCCTTGCTTATATAACTTAGGGATGTTTTCATGATAGAGTTCAGCAGCCACCTGATCAGCACCTGTCCAGATAACACTCCTCTTCATGTTTGAGGCACTGGGAATCCCCAACAGAAAGAGAATGACGACGTGATACTCTTCAAGACAGGCAGAACTACTGAGAAGTAAACTAGAATTCTCTACTGGATGCTGTGGGAGGGAATCATGCATGTAAACGTCAACGTATTTTCTACCAAAAGTAAATAAAGCAAACTGAAAAGACAGAACGGTGATCAGGAGCCCAGGCTCTGCATTTGGACAAAGCTGGGCTCAAATCTCAGTTCTGTTTTTTACTGGAGGTGTGACCTAGGGCAAGTCATTTTATCTACCTTTAAACTCTTCTTTGTAAAACAAGGATAAAAACAGTACCTGCCTCACCAGAGCTTAAGGATTTAATGAGTTCATGCACATAAAGTACAGAACAAAATAAAAGCTCAGTAAATGTTACTACCTCCTGTCACCTTTCCCCTTTAGTTGCTTTAAATTATACCTGAAGGGACAAGATGACAAATACGTTTTATTTCATAAGTTAACTCTGATCAGTTGGTTTTGCCAGACTGAAACATTACAATGAAAAGGATTTGAGGGCCTGTCTTAATGTGATAGCAGAGTATGGTGATTGATTAGTGATGTCTGCCCTGGGCAGAGATGTGATTAGTTGTGGTAGAGGACCAGGTATGAGCCATCTCTGCTATAGTTTCTGATTAGATGTTCTAGAGCCATCCTCATATCATTCAGCAGGGATGCAAAGAGAGCAACATTAATGAATATGGTTTGGGTGTAAAGGGAAGAAGTGGGAATCAGAGTCCCATCCACCATTTTTGGAAAAGTGTAAAGTTCTGTCATGCTCTGAAAATGTCCATTCTTAGCAGGCTCTAAGACATCAGAATGGCCATGTTCTAAGCCAGAAACAAGGTCCACCATACAGATCCCAAGGACAGTATAAGTAAGAGTTTTGAGAGTCTAGAACTCTAGGTTCTTTTTCCAGCTGAGGAAATCCCAGACCATCTTGGCCTGGTACTCGCAGAGCAATTATCCACCACAAACTCAGTCCCTGGTCCCATTGCACCTACTTGCCACACTCCTTGCAGGGGAAGATGGTAGTAGGGTCAGTCTCGCCACTGGTGGTGCTGTGAGAGGGCGAGCTCTTCACTGAGCAGTACCCACTCTGGGCCCCGCCAGGCTTCTGTTTCCCAGAGGGGATGGCACCTCGGGCTTTGGTCACCTGGTTGGTGCCCCCATGGATGCGGGCATGGCCGTTTAGTGCCTGTCGAGAGCTGAACACCTGGGGAAGAAAGGGAGTGACATGACATCTACAGTCCTGAAAAGGAAATTAGGGTTATTAGTTACTGAATGGTGAACACGTGATACTTGAAACAGTGTCTAACAATGGGAATAAGGGTTTCATAAGAGTAAACTTTGGGCCTATCCCACAGAAAAGGAGGATCAAATACCACAAGTGATACTGCTGTGCCAATAAAAACCTCATCACTGTTAACAACCAGAAGGCAGGAGGCAGTGTGGCATGGCACAAAGGACAAAGCTGCCCTTTAGACAGAAGACAAGACACAAGGGTCTAGATCCACTGTCCAGAACTCACAGGTAAGCTGCTAAGGCAGGCAATTCCTCTTCTGTACACTTTTTTAAGCCCCAAATTATCTCCTTCTCGCTCTCCCTCTTCTTTTTCTTCCTTTCTCCCTCCATCCCTCCTTCTCTCTTTTTTAATAAACTGGGTCTTACTCAAGAGCTCAAGTTCAGCTTAAAAGCTGAGGTGCTCTGGTGGAAATGGAGACAGCACCCAGAACCAGGCTGTTTGCTCAGTTCAATCTACTCCCAGGAACACCAGCACCCCATGAACAGTTTGAAAGACATTGATGAGGTGCTCTGACATATTCTATACATTATACAAAGCCCAATCAGTAGGCTGATGTTAAAGACCCCCCAAATTTAATATAGAATGACTTTAAAAGGGGAGGAACCTGGATAGTACTTTGAAGCTTGCCATAGGCAGGGCTTCTCAACCCCAGTGTCACTCCATTCTGGGCTGCATAACCTGTAGTGGGGGCCTGTGTTGTACCGTGTTCAGCAGCCTCTCTGGTCTCTACCTACCACATGGTAGTAGCACTTTCCAGTAGTGACAAAAATGTCTCCAGATATTGCCAAATTCCATCCCCAGTTCAGAACCACCACTATAAAGGGATGCTATGCATACCACAAATTCAAGCACCCCAACTTCTAGCTTCTTAAACTCATCTGAGGGAATACCCATTCAGGTGCCCTGCTGTAGTGGTGGTTCTGTTTACTGTCTTACAGAGAAAATAATCTGTCACCAGTTTAGAAACCAAAGCCTCTATCGCTGGGCAAGGAATAAAAGCATACTTTCCCTCCTGTGATTTTAAAAAAGTTATTAAAAATTATCTTTGCTGACAATTTCTGATTAGGAAAAGTAAAAAAGTGACTTCCTACTCAGTGAACAATTCATTGTATACCAAAACTGCGAGCTGAGGAAGCATCCGATTTCTGAATAAATACACCAAGAACTAATGTCATCTAAAGTTAAATCTCAATAATCCCTGCACCAACGTGCTCTATACAAAGGCAGTGATGGAGTGAAGAGGCCATGTCATTAAACATCAAAGAGAGACACAAGCTAGCCATTTCTTCTGTTCTCTAATGCAAAATGAATATTACATATATATAATTTTTCTTTTGTACTTTTCAATTTTTTTTCTTAAATGTGAATCAAATGAATTTCTGTTTTAGTATCAAAATATTCTAAAGACTGTTGCTTTCTCCATCTAAGTGACAAGACTCATAAGCAGCCTGCAATCCACTCTGGAAAACAGTATTGTCCTATATCATGCTCAAGTGAAGACAAGACACTAACTTGAGGAGAATGGGGCTTCCTGTGAAAGGAGCAACATTCTCATTTTGGAGGAAATACCTCTAGATCTCACCTTTATAGGTGTGCCTGGCTTTAAGAAATCTGATTTGGGAAAAGTTCCCCAGTTTAAATGAGTAGGGGACCAGTAGGAGTTTAAGACTCCAAAGTAAATAACCTTAAAAGATATCTTTGAAAATGCACATGGAGGCTTAGACTAGGCCAGTACCAATTTGCTAAGGCCTTTCTTTAAGTATTAAGAATGACCAAACAGTGAACTTGTTTTATTTTAGTTAAATGACCTAGTACTAGGCTAGGTAATTATAGAGATCCCCTTTCAGCTTGTTTACAGGATTAACTTACTTAGTAACTTTTACCCCCATCTCCAGAGTACAAAGAAACTTACCTAAATCTTTATAACAACTTTTTCAGATTTCACATTAGTGACATTTGAATTAGTAATACTTTATGAAATAAAAACCTCCCAACTGGGTAAAACTGCAGGCAGCAGGGGTAAGTAATTATATCATAAAAGGACAGCTATATCTGCAGGCTCCCCTGGTGCATTTAAACACACACTGAAAGGCACAAGCTGGTGGGACACACAGGCCAGACGAGTGCAGGGGCCCCAGGAAATGTGGAGTGTACAGTCTGGAGGCCGACACTCACTGTGGAGCTCAGAATCACACACCTCCTGAGGGCAGGGCCCTTCTTGGTGTCCGCCAATATGCAGCATCATACTTGACACAAAACACACACTTTAAGTGTCTGTTGGCCAAATGGATAAGACAACAGCAGCAGCCACAGTGTGCGCTGACGAACTTGCACTGCTGAGAGCGCACTCTTTCAAAACATCATCTCTTAAAGCCAGGCACAGCTGCATGGCCCTCACTTGTCATTTTATGAAAAAGATCCCCAGACGACACAGACACTTACAGCCCCACAGTTGGGCATTTCACAGATGAAGGAGCCTGAGGGCTGGCCGAGGGCCTGCAGGGGTGGCCCCTCTGTGGGAGCTAGGACGGGGACTGGCGGTGGCTCCGGGGACTTCGGCACCTCACTCTCCTCTTCTTTTGTGGACTTCCTATCTTCTTCCAGGTCCTCCTCTTCCTCCTCTAATTCTTCTTCTTCTTCACTTGTCTAGTGTTAAAGGTAATAAAAGGAAGAGGAGGAAATCCCCAAATAGCACTCTTAGTGACCAAAAGAACTCACAGACCAGTAGAGGAGAGAGGGCTGGATGCTGGGGCTGTGTCACTGTGTCACTTTCTTCCTGTATAAGGAAATGCCAATAGAGCCTGCTGGGCATAATCTCTAAAAGTTTGGGTATCTGGAAGCTTGGAATTTTGAGGTCAAGGGATTAATTCCCTTTGCCCCACTTTGGGCCCCACATGCTATCTGTATGTAGAGATCCCCCTTGTTTGAGATCATCAGATTTTGAAAATGACTGAACTCCCATCTCCTCACAGTAGTGAGGAGGGATTTCAAGCTATAACAATACTATGGAAACCCCCTTGGAGACAGAATGAAGACTATTCATTGTTTGTTTTCAGGCTTTCTGATGCATTGCCATGTGAGATGTTGGACTTGACTCTGGACACATGACGAGCACTGACACACAGGGCGCTGCTCCTCTGGTCTGGTCAGAAAATGGAAGAGAGAATCCCTTTAATTTATCATGTACTTTTCCTTTGGTCTCTGACCATGAGCTTGGAAAAAGCAGTGTATTCAAGGTTTCTGTTTACTCATTTTCTCCTACCTTGGAGGTATTCTATGAAAAAGAACAAGAAAAACATTTTCTATGAGTAATTATCCCTTCTGCTTCTATGTCCCCTCTCCTCCACTTAACCACAGCCACATGGAGAATTAAGAAGAAGGTCCCTGCCTTCCTCAAGGCTAACAGAATAGGAAGTTACTGTAGCAGCTTGGGGTGGGTGCTCTGGGTGTGCCGGGATGGAAGGGTGGGCACAGGGGGCCTTCTTTCTACATCTTACTTAACAAACTACTTTAGGATGTTGGCTCCTGCAGGCCTAGAAAGGGCTGAGGACCAGAGAAAGGGAATTCAGTGTTACAGCACTTTTATTTCAGTATTACAGTTTACAAAGTGTTTTCACATTTACTATGTCACCATGTAGGCTGTAAGCAGTCCTCCCATTTTTACAAATGAGGGAAGAACAGGCCCAGCTGCCTCTGGCCTGACAGGTTATTTCCCTCTGACAGGTTCTCTTTGCACATCTACCACTTATAGCAGGTGGGTTCTAGTCTTTGTCACCCTACACAGTGATATTAAGTCTAGGGGCACTTGTGATTGCTAGAAGCCAGAAGCCAGAAGCCAGAATTTCCGAGAGGAATAAAGATTTCTGAGAGAAGCAGTTGCCTGCGATACAGAAACTCTCTTGTTTGGAATTGGGGTTTGTGTGTGTAAGTATGAGGCATGCAGCATCCCCTCCACTTTGTCAGTACTGTCCATATTTAACATCACATAGATGCATATTTGAGATAACATGTATTTGAAAATACAATTTGGTGTTTAAAATGAGGGTGGACTGCTTGAGCTCACAAGACCACAGTAACTCTTTTTTTTTTTGCAGTTTTTGGCTGGGGCTGGGTTTGAACCCTCCACCTCCGGCATATGGGGCTGGTGCCCTACTCCTTTGAGCCACAGGTGGTGTCCAAGACCACAGTAACTCTTAATGAGAATAGCATTTGTTTCATGGTAGTTGCTATAATTACAGTTTTCTCCCAATGCCATTGTTGGGCTTATATACTCCTAGAAAAACAAATATTCCATACAGCCACAACATTATAGATTAAATTATACTGTACTGGGGTTAATATGTCTGAGGAATTTAGATGGGCTTTATTTGAACCAGTAATCTACAAATCACAAAATGATTTATCATCAAGCCATATGGCTCACCAAAGTGACTAAGCGATACAAATCTAGGAGGGCAAAAATCTTAACATGTAGAACTCTGTATCAACAAGCTGGCCATTTTATGGTGTATTGTGAAATAAAACACTTAGCAATATTCCAAAATTAGTAGAAGGTGGGCACATACAGGGTAGGGAGGAGGTTATATATTTAACATGGTTCTCCAAACCCTGAATGCCCACAATAAGACATCCTGGAAGACGAGGATATTTTTATTTCTCAGGCATGCAAATGGAATTCATATGATGAGAAATGGGCAAGTTTAAATACAAACAACCCAAATTTGCTCAAAGACACAGACTTGAGTATTGCGTGCCATTAATGGAAACAATGTTCTGAATGCCTGCTACGAATTAGGTGTCACACACATGCATATATGCATGTGCACACACACAAATTTTAGTTTTCACAACACTGTACAAATTTTTCTTTTTTAAACACATGAGGAAATTGGCCAGGGAAATAATTTTCTCAAGATCACACAGCTGAAAGAGCAGCTGAATTGAGCTGGGCTCGGTGGTGCACATCTGTAATACTGATACTCTGAGAGGCCAAGGAAGGTGAACTGCTTGAGCTCACAAATTCAAGACCAGCCTGAGCAACAGCAAGACCCCATCTCTACTAAAAGTAGACAAACTAGCCAGGCATTGTGGTGGGTGCCTGCAGTCCTAGCTATTTGGGAGGGCGAGGCAGGAGGATCTCTTGCACCTAAGAGACTGAAGTTGCTGTGACCAAGAATGATGCAATGATCCCATGGCACTCTACCCAGGGTGACAGAATGAGACTCTGTCTCAAGAAAAGTAAAAAGAAAAAGGAAAGAAAAGAAGCTGAACTGAGATCCAAAGTCTGGCCTAACACCAAAACCTCAGCCTTCTTCACCCCTTGGTCCTGCTGCAAGTGTTCCCATAGTGCACATCTGTCCACTACAGATCCTAAATCTCTCAGAACCACCAAGGCCAGTTACTCTGGAGGGTCAAAGAGAAAGAGGATGATGTTTCCCAAGGTGCCCGTCAATGGACCACGCTGCAGGTGAGCTGGTATTGACACCAGAGGAGATCTCTACCTTGGCCCTTAGAGCCCTAATTGCTGTTCCTAACATCAGTTAACTGCCTCAGTCAATTGCACTGGCTTCTGGTCACAGCTAAAAGCGGGGGAGTGTTAGCACAGGCAAGGGACAGAACCTACTTGATCCCCTTCTTTGGTTTCCAGTGGGGAAAGGGCCTGTGGTCACTCAGGCCAGAGGTCAACTAGCCCTGCTGAGTAAGCTCTGTGCTCTGTAGACCTCTCAGCTACCTAAAGAGTAATCATTCCTGTTAAGCTTCCTTTTTTCCTCCGTCTCCCCTTTAAGTCCTCAGTCGCCTGAGCTACCTGCGCATGTTCCTTCATGTTCCATCAGAGGTAAAATGGTCACTGCCCTTTAGCAAAACACCAAAGATACATGATCAGGAGAGCCATCCAGGTGTCCCTGCTTGGCCCAGAGGACAAAGAGCAGGATTATGTCCTGGACCACACCTTTTGCACCTCCTTAGTCTTTGATTCCAATTTTTCATCTCCACTTGGCAAACTAAGCTCAGAAGGCTGACTGTGCATACAGTGCCTGTGAAGGAGCCGTGAGCTACCTTGCTGGCCTTAAATCAAGACTTTCTTGTTTTTGTGAGCCTGAGTCATCTCTGCACATAAGCCCTTTACCTTCCCTAAGCTCACAGTGACAAGGGTGTGGATGCTCCTGACCCAGCCTAATACTGGCTCCTGGTGAATAAGCCTAAGAAGGTATGGCACTCCTGGGTATCCTATCCAAACTTCCTTCATCGGAGGCTACATGTTGGCCTGGGCCCATCTCCAAAGCCTCGTCAGCCCAAGTCAGCCAGACGGTGGCCTGCTGGTGTGGTAACATCTTCATTACCACGTTCTTCCACTCGGCATCCCCTTGTTCATTCCATTTCCCTCCAGTGAGTTCACAGAAGGGATGTTGCCACAAACCAGAGTGACTCCTATCTCGGGAAAACATTCACTTATTCAATAAATGTGATATTTATTGAGTGCATAAGTTGTGCCAGGCTCTGTCCTAGGTAACAGCAAAGCCTAAGAGACACTAATTTACCTTAAGCAACCATATCCTCTTATCTTACCCTCTTCTAAAATATGGTACTGACAGAGCCCATAAAATCCTAGAACTGGAAAGGACTTTGCAATTCATCTAAGTCATCTGCCCACGTTACATGTCAACAAGCCTAGGTCATAAGTCTTCAAGGCTAGGGATCTGTGTGCTTCTATTCATTTGGAAAGCCATGCTCCGTGTGACCCTGGGTAAGCCCTGTCCCCTCTCTGGGTCTCAACCTTTTGCTTATAAAATGGTGGAATGGATTGGGAGAGTCCTCAAGGCTGTATCTAAGACCTTCTGGTTCACATTTCACACTGCTTTTAAATACTCTTGGGGTTCGCAGTAAATTCCCACTTGTGTATGTTATATCTTCCTGACTAGGATGTATGCTCTGGATGGTGGGGGCAGAGAAAGCAAGAGGCAATTTAACAACCTCAGGTTACCCACAGCACTACGTGCATACTACTGTTTACATTGTGGAAATTCAATTGCTTTTAGCTGACTGAACCAGAGGCGGCTGTACTGTTTATTTAAACATTAGGCCACAGATGAGCAAAAACTACTGATAAAATACATCACTACTTAAAACCAGTCAAACAAAAGCCTTGGCCACAGGAAACCCTGAATACAGAATACTGCCATTGCTGACTGAAAACATGGCAATATCATTTTATTCTATAGATTTCTATTTTCTCTGGTATTTGGGTCCAAATGTGAACTTATATATGCGTGTATATTTCATAGCTAGGCTCAATCCTTAGGTAAGAGCTTAGGCTTTGAAGCATTAATGAGTCTAAGTGATTTTATGCTTCTCTAAGAGAGTTTGCACGTGACTACTCCTATGCTGCACGAGGGCTCACACAACATGCTCCCCAGCTGTGTGACCTGGGCCAACTTGCTTAAGCTCTGTGCCTCAGTTTCCTCATATACTTGGCATTAAATAAATGAAACTGGGTTATATGAGTCAGTAAAGTCCCTACCACAATGCCTGGCACATAGAAAGTGGTATTTAATCGTTACAGAAAATAACTGACATATGAGCTAACTCTTACAACTGGGGCACAAATGGGAATACAAATATAATTACGACTATCAACCTAATTCATGAATTCCAAACTCTTTTGCTGATGATGATCAAGGCTTGAGTTTAGTAATCTGTCATAAGACATGTTTTTTTGATACACATGTATGATAGGTTATGTTTTCTATAAGTGTGGAGAGATTTCCTTGGCTGTGGATGCAGAGAGGAGAGTTAACCGCAAGGATCACAAGTTATAATAATTACCAAAGCCACACATACAGGGTTCAGAGACTAGTTGGGTCTTATGTCTTCAGTATGTACTTAATTGTAATATGCAGATGACCTGGATTATCTGTTGATAAAGGCAGTCAATGCCAAGGATAATGGTGTGCTTAGGATTAGAATCATCTATATACACTGTTAACCAGTTCCTTAACTATGGCAAATTCCTAGGGCTTCCTTATCTTTCTGAGGCATGTTAAGGTCTCAGAGCAATAGCATCTATGACATGGAAGGATCAGAAGGGAATATACCAGGGGGGTCAGGACACCAATTCTAAACTAACCAAGTGAAGGTGGAACTATCTTGGCTTAACTCTCTCAGTTCCTACATGCCCTCACCCCCACAAGTAAACCTGAGCTACAGGCCTAACCTCAGGATGCCTTCCCTACCTGTATCAAGAACTCAAGTCCTGCACCCTGCAAAGGAGCCTTGACACCCCCTCACTCTACTGTCTAGCATCTTGGCAGCAAAGTTAAAGCAAATGCCAGCCATTTACTAACCCAGGTGTGGGGCAGGAGTCACACCAGTGCATGTAACGACTTAGCAGCTTCACTCACCATGCAATCATCGATGATCTCTGCCAGGCGTGTCCGGTGCTTCCGCCCTAGCCGCATTATTTTTTTCCACGTGTAGTAGTACTCCACGCACTGAGCCACCGTCTTTGACTTCACCTGCCAGGAAAGTGAGCTCAAAGTTAGCTCCAGCAGTGGGCAGCAAGACAAGGCAGGGACATTCTTTGAATATTTAATTTTGTAATAAGGAGGTCATAAATAGGTTTATAGAGTTCAATAAAAAACGTATACAATGAAAAGCCTCCTCCTCACACCTCCCCCTGCAACACAGGTAGCTCTTTCTATTAATTTTTTGGTTATCGTTCCAGAATTTCCTTATGCATGTATCAGCAAACACAAAAACATATTCCTCCCTCTACTGTCTTTCCTCTCAAAAGGCAGCAATACTCTGTAAATACTGTTTTGCAACTTGATTTTTTTCACCATATAGTTTGGAGACTTTTTCAGATCAGTCCCTGTGGATACTACTCAATTTTTTAACCCATAAAATCAGCTTCTTTGTCATTTAATATGCTCAAATGTGTTTAACTCTCTGACTTGACCTTCAAAACATAATTATGAGCAATGTTCCTTAGTAATGGAATAGAAATATAAGGTGACAGTTAGGATGACACAGCTTAGATGTTGTAGAAAATAAGCCTTGCCATGTTCCCCCTCAAAAGTGCAAAAGTAGACGCATTTTAAGGCAGAAACATTCCTTTGTTTTGTTTCTTCTATGCTCCGGTGAGGTGTATAATGTGGGTTTTCTGGAGGTAGATTAGGAGACTGGCCCTACCCTTGGGGTTGGGAAGAGGGCCACCTACACAGTGAGATGTGAAGGACTCCACCAGAAGTCCTGTCTCCTGAGTTGCCCCCGGTTACATCCTCCTAAGAGCTGGAATTTCTATACTAGAATCAATCTGGGAAGTGAGGATGCTGTCCCAGTGAGTCCTTATTTAAAAGGACTGTTAAGCATAACACATGAATCCATCATCCACTGACAGTGTAGGGCCTTCAAGGAGTGAGGTCTAGGCCAGGCCAGTCTTGGGGGATGGTGACTCAAGAGAGATAGGAGCATGGGAGCTGCTGAGCACACAGGTCAGCACAGGGCCTGGTGGCAGGAAAGGGAGGCCCAAATGCAGAGATGGAGGTGGAGGCAAGACAGAGGCAAAACCCGCCTTTTTCTTTTAGGCAAGGCTCTAGATCAGGGATTTTCACCTGGTGTGCCATTAGAGGATCCTAGGTGTGCTGTAAAAATTTTTAAAGATCATTAATTAAATTATTTTTGAAAGAAGTTCAAAGCACAGTGAGTATATTTTTTTTATTAATTTTTTTTGATCAACATAATCTCAGTGTATTGCAGAAGTTTAAGTATAGGTTCAAGTGTGCCATGAAACAAAAAGAGTTGAAAAACGCTGCACTAGATTAACAATAGGAGACAGGTCACCCATACCACCACTGCGGACCACCCAGCCTAAGCTAGGAGCTTGTGTGAGCTGTCACCTGTGACCCCATTATTGGTGCACCTGAACATCCTTCATTATCCTATATTACAATATACTCTATCAGATATCAGTTTTTGCAACACTGTGAATCATTTTAACTTTTCTTTTTCTTTGAGATGAGGTCTCACTGTATTGCCCAGGCTGGCTTCAAACTCCTGAGCTTAAGAAATCCTCCTGCCTCAGGTGTGTGTTAACATGCCTGGCCACTTAAATTTTTTAGCCCAAAATGCCTCTTAGCCAATTAAAGCCTATATTACCTGTTGTATAAAGTGCTATTTCATCTATGAGCAAGAGTTTTGCTATGAAATGCTATGTATGTAAGGTACTATTTTTATTATCACTGTCATTATCATCATGAGTTTGATACCAGAAACTCTGCTATTGGGTAAGAGGAGGCCACATATCCTCCCTGTCCTGATTTCCCAGAAAAAAGTTCTGTCAGAAATACGATAGATCAAATATACTATATAAACTGTGAAACAGAAACCCCAGTTCTAGTTATTCTGACAGAATTATGAGTCACACATTTTAATTCAGAAAGACAATAACTTCCATCACTGCAGCATTCAAATCATGGGTCCTCTTTTCTCTCATCCCACAGACGCCCAGCCCTGGGGCCACCCCTGTGTCAACCACCATCCTTTACCTGCAAGGGGTGGAAGGCACACTTTTTGCACAAATGATCAACTAGTAACCGGATATCCCTAATATTTCTATCTTTATGTGTACAATTTCCCCAATTTAATTTCAAGTCCACAATGGGGAAAATCATGCTTACCATCTTCTGTACAAAAATAAAGTCTTTGCTGTAAGTGGCTAGTGCTTTATTAAACAGTTTTCTTTCTAGGGAGGTCCACTTGTCCGAACCTACAACAAAATACAGACTTCATGAGAACAGTTCAGAGTTCCCTGTTTTTAAGTTCTGGTTCATCTAGTTAAGTTTCAAAATACAACTGTCTAGTAAGTGCTAATACATGTCAAACTTTTGTTCGAACAAAAACACAGGATAAAGTAATAATGGTCAGCATCTCTGACATCTAGCTTCAAACCCCAGTGATGGTCTTGATCTTGGCAAGTTACTTATCCTAAGCCTGTTCTGTTACCTACAAATGGGAATAACTGTAATTGTCTCCATTGTGTAGGATTTTGTGAAGGTTAAAAGATAATATAGAAAAAGAGTGCCCACCTTAATAAGTGGGAAGCAGTAAGAGCTCAAAAAATTTTAGGTACAGTTTTTACATAATGATTACATTCACAAATACAAGTGTTCATGTGGCAAGCACTTAGGGTGTGATTGGATTCACCAGTCTCCACCCTCCACCCTCGAGATGGTCACAATTTACCAGGGAGACAAACCAGTTGGCCACTATGTATTAGTGTAATTATAAAGGTAAAGGTGAAGGAGGCATAATGGAGGACCACCACATTCAGGATAGGACCCGGGCAGCCAGGAAGGCTTCCAGGTGAAGAAAATACCTGAGTTGAGTTTTAAAGGACACACGGAAGTAAGTCAGGCAAGAAAGAGACGGAACAGCAAGTGTGAAGTCAGAGGCAGCCTTGAGGTGATGCACTTCATTCATTCACTCATTCATTTAACAAATATTTGTCAGGTGTACACTACAAGCAAGATGTCGTGCTAGGAGAAAAGAACTAACATTTGTATAAGTGCTTACTACATGCCACTTTCTAAGTACCTGACAGTTATCATTTGGTTTTATTAACAACCTGATAAGACTGGTATCTCTATCATCCCGTTTTACAGATGGGATGCCAGTTTCTAAGTACCTGACAGTTAGTTAATCATTTGGTTTTATTAACAACCTGATAAGACTGGTATCTCTTATCATCCCATTTTACAGATGAAGAAGTGGAAGTGTTCAAAGAATAACCAGTAATCCAGCATGGCTCAAGTTTAGGGTTCTAGCATAGGAAAAGCAGATGAGGCCAGAGGTGAGTGGGACCAGTTCTTGACAGATTTGCAGACTGATGGGGAAGAGGTTCCATGGTTCTGGGCTGGTGTAGCTATCTTGCTGGTTAAACTTGGTGGTTAGTTACGTCTTTTTCCTCCATGAAAGAGAAAGCAGAATAAACAGATAATCATATCCTTTTTGGGACAAGAAATACGGCCTCTAAGAAATACTTCTAAGAGGACTCCTATTTCCGGGGAATCTAGAAATAGTTCAACCCTAAAGATAACTTGGCCCCATTCTTCTGGCTTGTTGAATTTTCCACATCTCTGAGCCTTTGGATGTACATGGCCATGCCTTTTGACATTCCCCTCTCAGTGCCCCAATACCCTAACCAATGGTCAAGGGCAAGTCTCAGGTTTCCATTTTGCTGTGGTCAACTGTTGGTGCTGAAGTATGGGAAACCTGAATTGCCTCTTTTAAAGTTTGGCCAAAAGAAGTGAATCAGGTGAAACCACCAGGGGCAGGAAGGGGCCTCCTTAGACTAGGTGGATACCCTAGGATCACCAACAGAATACATGGCTCAGAGAGGTGAACTCAGATTTCTTAAATAAACACTTTGTGCTCACATAAGGTGTTTATTTAACTCTCTGTGATGGGTTGTCAAACCAAGAGCTTTGGCCCTAGATTCAGAATATGCTTTTGGTTCAGATTTCAAAAAAGGGCCACCACCCAACTTCTTTGGTTTGCAAGTTTTATCTCTTGACTTCCGGAAGGAAAGCAGCTTTCTAATGGATCCCTGGCAGAGGGAAGCATCTTCCACACGTTCTGGGGGACCAGACATCTCTGCATATACACACACAGCCACAATGAGGGGAGGACTTAGAGAAGCCTTGCTGGAGTGGACGTGAGTACAGGAGGTTGGTGGGATTAAGGCTCTGTAGCAACTCCATCAGCAGTCTTCAAATTCTGTCCAACATTCATGACTTAGGGTTCCAGCTCCACACATTCCCCTTACCCAGGAGCAGAGGCAGAAAGATGAAGGACAGAAAGGATTAACCAACAATTCAGCCAAACAACCAAAGAAAAGTCATGGTTCCTTTTATATATTCATCAAAACAACAAATAGGCAAGAGGGATCCTGAAGACAATGATGGAAGAAAATCACAGTGGTGACAATTCACACCGCTGAAACACCAAGCTTCTAAGGAGGCTGGTGTGCTGCCTGCTGCAAGTCCAGAGTCTGTGTGGCCCTTGGCTGCATCTCAGATGTGGCCTTGGGGACTGATGAAACCTTCAAGGAGATCAATGACAATTGTTCCCAACCTTAGCCAGACCATGTCTCCTGTATTACAGTCCAGCTCTAAGACACGGCGAGACCACCAACAGGGTTGCTTGGGCTTCCCAGGCAGCACCCTTTATCTCTATAGGGGATACCTCATTGTCTGACTTCTGATCCAAAAAGCAGTGCTAAGTCCTCGGGTCTGTTTGACTCTGAGAAGCATGCCCCTTCAAGTCTCCACATGACTAACCAGATGCAACCTCACAGAAGGTAAAATAACTTCTCATCCTGTAATGGGACCTTCCCTCTCCTGCCTTTCGTGGTTCTTAGAGCTGCTGCTCTGTGATGGTGTCTTCTGTCTTCCTGATCCCAGAGTGAGCATTCTGCACGACTCAGCCTGGGTTGGACGTGGGCTGCACACTATCCCTTCTCCTTGGTCCTGCAGGTGCAGCGTCAGGAGGCTTGAGCTAAGACAGCAATAGATAGCTTCCTCCTAGGATCTTGCTGTAATACATTTGACAATGCTGTGTGTGTGTGTATGTGTGTCTGTCCAATAGTGCATCCATGAAGCGAGGAGCTCCGGCTAAGTCAGACAACAAATAATCCATTCTCACACTCACATGAGGGCTGCCTGTGGAGGCTGAGAGTCCATCTTTGGGCTGTTGGGCCAAATTCCCAGGCCACAGCCTGACACAAATAAATAACATCTGTGCTTTCTCCAAATAGCTATCACTGAGCTGTGATAAAAAGGGTGACAATAGCCAGGAGACTGTTGGCTGTAAATCTCGTTCTGCTATTTACTCCTGTGACCCCAGGCAAACCTACTAAACTGCTCTGAGTCTCAGTTTCTTCACCTGTGGGGATGGTCACTCTGTGACTAACAGTGTTTGGTCCTAGGTAGGTGCTCAATGGATGTTCTAGATCTTCAATGGCCACTTGGAAAGTAGATTCCAAATCAGCCCAGGACTATGAGACAAGTGCTGTCCCCGGTTGATGCATGTAATGTGGCACTCTGAAGACCTCTTGTTCCTATGAGTGTTCCTTGTATTTATAATCCTACAGTACCTTACTCCTGGCTGCTCATAACTTCCAGTCTGTTATTCCCTGCCTCCAAGACCCCCCTATAATCCAAAGTCAAGGTAAGGCTCAGGTGTCTCTTTTCTTGTATTATGTCTGATGGGGACACATTCCTCCTCTTAGACAAGGTTCTAAGCCAGCCTTGGATGAAATGCAAAACTGGGCTCGGCGCCTATAGCTCAACGGGCTAAGGCGCCAGCCACGTACATCTAAGGTGGCGAGTTCGAATCCCCAGCCCGGACCCGCCAAACAACAATGACGGCTGCAACCAAAAAATAGCCGGG